ACAAATGGCAAATAAATATATAAAGAAAATGTTCAACCTCATTGATCATTTGAGAAATGCAAATTAAAACAACACTGAGATTTCATCTTACCCTGAAAAGAATGACTAACATCTAGTAATCAATGAATAACAAACACTGGTAAAGTTGTTGGTGTAAATAGGAACATTTTTTGACTCTTGGTTCAAATATAGACTGGCACAACTAGTGTAGAAATTAGTGTGATATTCTGTAAAAACCTAGGATAAGACGTCCCATTAGATCCAGCTAGTCCTCTTCTGGATATTTTCCTGGAAGAATTACAAACATCACACCACAATGATAGATGTGCACTCATGATTAGAGCAGCTCAATTTGTAATAGCTATATCTTGGAAACTACCAAAAAGCCCATCAACCAAGGAATGGATATAAAAGAGGTCATAGTTATATACAATGGTGTCCTACTTACCCATAAAGAAGGATATACTGGAGGCTTTTATAGGTAAGTGGATTTGACTAGAAACTATACCCAAAAGTAAAGTAAATTAGACTTGCATGTGTAAACACTGTATTGTCTCCCTAGTGGAAGAAACTGAAAGCCTAAATAAGACCCAAAAGTCCCAAATTTTCTGATCAAGGAGATTATGGGGCCAAAGAGGAAAGTGATCAATGATATAGAGTGTGCCTAAGGAGAGTCACATGGAGAGAAAACATTTTCTCAGGCTTTTGCAGAGAGCAAATTGGCTAAGCAATGGCCGTGACTCATCCACATGGCTGACACTGACAAAGGATCTACAAACTAAGGTACAGGGTCTCAGGGTAAATCCTGAAGGGATTTGACGGACCTTATCAGATACAAAAGCTACAATTCTTGTTACATAGGTCTTGCTTTATCTTGGTCTTAACCATCCAGCAGAAAACTATAAAAGCGAAGTATAAGAAGTAAAGTCATGTTGTTATGTTGAGCTGAAGGGGACTCAGGTCAACAACTTCTGACATTGCCAGTCAAGCAGAAGACCCAATACTATCATGGCTCCTGGACTATTTTGGAATATTTTGCTGAGTTCACACACCTATAATATTAAAATGATGGAACTAAAAAAAGGGGGGGATACAGATGAATGAACATTTTGTATCTCTGTATTCAAAATGGTTAGGATAGACATATAGCTACATTCTCTTAATTCAATGAATAGAGTGATTTGTTCTAATAGTGTTTGTAAATAGGATATCATGTCTGCATCTTGTATAATAAATAACCACTAGGAAGACAGCATGCGATGTGTTAATTATTGAAACTGTCCTACCAATTTCATTTGAAAGTGTCTCATTGCTATTTGTTTCTCAATAAAATTATGGGAAAAAATGAAAAAAATATCATAGATGTTGTGTAAGAGAAATAAATTTCTCAAAAGGAAAGCATAACTGGGATGGGGTAAGAACAAAATACGTATGTACACCAAACAGCTAAGGTAGTAATTATACTACTAATTTCTATTAGTTCACTGAAAGGAACAGTTTGTGCTTATATTGTATGATCAGTTTTGCATACCATCTATGTCTTGTAATCTGAGCGATTACTTTAAAGATAAAAAGATGAAATATAACCATTGTTAATTTCCTATCTTATTTCAAAATTTTATATTGTTTTTAACTTTTTTTCTTTAAGAAAAAAATAAAATCAGGAACAAGACAAGTATATTCATTGTTACCACTCTTATTCAGTATAGTTCTGGAAACACTAGTCTGAGGAATTAGACAAAAGAGAGAAATAAAAGGAATAAGGATAGGAAAAGAAGAAATTAAATATCATTTTTTCCAGATGACATGATTCTCTACATTGAAGATCCTCAAAATTCCACCAAAAGACTTCAAGATTTAATAAGCTAATTCAGTAGCCTTGCTGGATATGAAGTTAACACCAAAAAATCAATAGCATTCCCATATGTAAATAACAAACTCACTGAGGGAGAAATTAGGTACACATCATTCACAATAGTGTTCTAAAAAATGAAATACCTAGGAACCAATGTAATGAAGAAAGTAAAAGACCTCTATATATGCAGTACTCTTAAAAAGTAAATTGAACCTGGCACCATGTGCCATGCCAGGCCCACCCTCTGGGCATACTGAGCCGGCCACCAAGACCAGGCATGGTGGCACATGCCTGTAATCCCAGTGCTGAGGAGGCTGAAAACAAGAGGTTCACTATAAGTCCAGCCTGTGTAGTGAGATCCTACAACCAAATCCATTTTTAAAATAGTAAATTGAAGATGATATTAGAAGATAGAAAAAACATTCCTTGCTCATTGGTAAAAAGAATCTATGTGGTGAAAATGGCCATACTTCTAAAATTGCTATAGAGATTTAGTACAAACCCAGTGAAAACCCAACAGCATATCTCACAGAGTTAGAGAGACAATAATCCTAAAATTCATTTCGAACCAGAAGAGATCTAGAATAGCAAAATTAATTCTGAACAACAAAGGTAGGGCAGAGGGCATCATAATACTTGACTTGAAATTATACTACAAAGCTATTGTGATAAAAACTGCATGGTATTGGCAGAAAAAAATAAAAAAAAAACAGACCTGAAGACCAATTGAACACACTAGAATATTCAGAAACAACTCTGAAATACTTAGCCACTTTATCTTTAACAAAGGAGCCAAACAGGTACCCTGGAAGAAAGATAGCATCTTTAATAAATGGTGCTGGAAATACTGGCTTTCCATATGCTAAAAATTAAATTTACACTCATATCCATAACCATGCACTAAATTGAAATTAAAAATAAGTTAAAAATCTAAATAGTAAAAAGAGAAACACTAAATATGGTGGTAGAGAGAATATGTTGAAAATGTTGGTGTAGGCAAAGATTTTTATGAACAAAATCCAAACCACAAGAAAAAATTACACAGAGTCAACTGTTGGGATCTCATCTTATTAAAATGCTTTCACATAGCAAAAGAAACCACTAACAGAGTGAAGAGAGAACACATAATGTGAGAAAACATTTTTGCCAGGTGCTGCTCAGACAAGAGTACTATAGAATAAATAAGTCAAAAAATCAGACCACTCCCCAATTCAAAGATTCAAAACAAAAATGGGCATTTGAAATAAATAGATACTTCTAAGATGAAGAAGTAAAAATGACACATAAATATATGAAATATTATTCAATATCACTGGTCATTTGATATCTCTAATTTTGAACCACCAGGCAGTCATAGAACTGGCTTCAATGTCCTATTTTGAACCTACCAATCAGTTCCCTTGAGAAGGATTGCCCATCTTCTTGCTCTTGTCCATTTTGTGATGATAATATTTAAAAACAGGAAATGTATTTGGCTAACTGGTCTAGAAGCTGAGGAGTCCAAATGCATGGCAACAGGATCTTCTCAGCACCTAGTGAAGGCCCACTTCCTGCATGGCAGATGGCAGAAGGGCAATAGAACATGAAAAAGCAAGAAAAAGACAAGGTTGAATTTTATAACAAATTCACTCTTGTGATGATGGACCAAATCCTGCAATAATGATATTAATCCATTTATGAACTGATCAATTTGGTAATGTCCTATCTCTCAACAATGTTCCATTTTAAAATCTTTCTTCTCTCTCTCTCTCTCTCTCTCTCTCTCTCTCTCTCTCTCTTTCTTTCTGTCTGTCTCTGTCTCTCTCTCCCTCTTTGATATAGGGTCTCACTACACAGTTCAGACTTATAGTGATCCCCCTGTCTCAGCCTCTCCAGCCCTGGGAGTACAAGTATGTATCACCATGCCTAGTTTTAGTGGCTAGAATGGCCTGCAGTACCAGGGATTGAATTCAGCTCCTTGAGTTTGCCAGGCAGGAGCTTAGAGTGTTGAGGTATCTCTCCAGCCAACAACGTTCCTGTGCTAGTGACCTACCTAGTGACTGTTAGGTCTGAAAAGGAGGTTATCTGGTCACCTCTCCCCTAGAAAAAAAGAAGTTGGTATTTCTAACCCTGGCTGTCATGAAAACATGCACAGGAAATATATAGTGGTCAATAATTCATTACTGTCCTGCTCAAATGAAAAGCAGCTCATTTGTTTGAGACTTATGGTCATTTTCTAAGAGATCAGTGTAGAGTTTACAGTGATGGGTTGTAACTCACTCCAAGCGCATGGAAAATGCAAGTTAAATTACTGAGGGACACGGAAACCGGAGACAGAGCCACGTTCAAGTAGAAATTAAATTTTTGATTATACGATCACCTTTCACATTTGTACCTGTGAAAAGTTCTCGGCATGTGCTATGGGTGGTACAGAAGGCACTACGGTGTACCTGGACAGGAAACGGGGTCTTCTTGTTACCAAGCAAGCATAGAGGACACACAATAGAAAACTTTCCTCAAGGCCACATTGCCACTGGCTGACAGGTTGAGGACAACAGCTCTGTTACTTTCCAAAGCATTTTCAGAAAGGCAGAAACCAGATTTTTGCCAGGGCCCCTTTATCTGCTGGAAGAGAATCAGACACCAGAGATTGTTCCTTCTTTTGGGGAGGATTCTAGTCCTGCAGCCCAACTCCAAAGGTCTTCCTTGCGCCTTCCAGCTCCAGCCAGAACCTCGGGTCAGAGGCTGAGCCCTGCCCCATTCGGTTCTGCCACTACATGCCCCACCCTAGTGCCTCAGCAGAAGCGGGTGGGGCACCACCCTCCTTTTCGAATTCCCGCGAGCGAAAGGGGAGGAGGCGTGGCTTGGGGAATGGACCACAGATGGGACAGGGGGTTTCAGTTTGCGAGCCGGCAGGGGTGGGGCCAATGAGAGTTGCGGGGAGCCTGCTTCTCTCTTGCCACCTAGTGTCACCTTCCCTGGTCTTTAATATGACGCACCGCGGAAAATTGTGTACACTCTTATCGCTCTTTCTTGCCTCAGTGCTATACTATAAAAACCAGAACCTTGGATAGAACCGTTATTGTCCACTAACAGTGGTATGTCCTCCTTTAGAGCTACTGCGCGTGCGCTGTGCAGTGAGCCCGGTACCCTCGGGTGACGGGAAGCGGAAGTGCTCGGAAGACCAAGGGGGGTGGACTCTGGTAGCTCTGGCTGCTGTTATCTGCTGCTGATCTTTGGGCCCTTGACAGAGAAGTAAGGGGAGGGGTGGTGTGGTGGGTTTTGTTGGGGGAGCTGGCCTGGCCAGGAAATCGTGGGTTGGTGCTCTCTTCGGGTCGAGTGACAGGGCCGTTGAGGGGAGTATTCAGATCGGATCTTTGAGCGGTAAATGCGTTGATACATTGAGTCTTTAAGGGACTGCTTGTCAGGCATCAGGTACAGGCCAGGCGCTAAGGCAGATTTTCACATTCATCTTCAGAATAGTCTGTCTGGTGCAGTAGTGCTGCAGTTAGCTTCATTGCAGACAGGAACCACAACAGTGGTTGACAGCAGTCCCAAATTACGTAGTTAACCAATCCAACGTATCCTTTTTCTTTTCCACACAGCCTTTATCCTTTTATAATGTACCCTATTTTTTTATCATGTCCCTTTGTTTCCTGTCTGGTCCCTTGTTATGTTCTAATCTCTGAAGGAGAAGAGAAATCGAGATTTTGTTCACTGATGTATTTCCAAATCATAGGCACATAGAAGGCACTTAACTTGTGCTAGGAGAGGACACAGCTGACCCTGTGGGTTACAGCTGCCCCATCTATGTCTCCATGTGTGCAAGTGGCACAGCAGTGTATCAGTTTGTTCTAGACCAGGGCTCCTAATACTGCAGTTTCAAGCTCAGTGGTGTTAGTTGAACTATTAACTCTTGAAACTAAAATGAAACACAATATATTTTGTTTAATAAAACCTTTAGTGTTTATTCACCTTTGCCCCACGGAGGGTAGCCTAGGGCTTGCTAATGGAATCTTCTGTGGTTATTGGTGTTTCCAGGGTAAAGTGCATGCCTGAAACCACTGCTCACCAACCAGACTGTCTACACCCTAGTTTCTTCTCTTAGCTTGAAAAGCTCCAGTTTGTAGCCACAGGAGGTCACTTCACTGGGTGGCAGATAAAGATCTGTTGCTGCAGTTGAACCAAAGTTGTCTTTCAGTCCCTTGGCTCTGGTAACAAGAGAGCTTCCCTGAGGCATGTGGGAGAAGCTTTATCCCACAGCCCAGGTCCTTGGGGCAGAGGCAGGAGGCTCAGAGGACAGCAGTCTCTCCTGTCAGCTGAGAGAGAGAGAGCAAGGCTCCCTGTTGTGGGAGAGAGAGATGAAAGTGGCAGCTATATGGAGACATGGATGGGGCAGCTGTACCCCACAGGGACAGCAAAGGCAGGATAAGGCTGCAAAGGGCCACATCCAGTTTCAGAGCACTCTGTCCTCTCCTAGCCCATGTAAGTGCACAGCATCTTCTCTTGCCATTGGTCTTTCTGGATTTGGGTCAGTCCCTTAGCATCAACATCACACCTGTCTCCAAGGCACATGCTAGATCTCCTTCTGTCCTGACCAAAGTGCAGAAAGTAGTATTTTTTGTCACAGACTTTGGAATTTCAGAGTGGTTCACAAGTTTGCTTGCATTCAGCTCTGTTCCCTCCTTTTTGATGCATTCTGCAACTGGACCTGAGGATGTTAAGCTTCATGGAGCTGAACTCTGTTGTCCTGATGCTCCTGTGGTGATTGCTGTGGTTTAAATGATTCCTCTGCTTGAAGCTTCTTGCTGAAACTTTATTTTCATAACTACAAAACAAGGAAGAATGTGTCAATCAAAGCAAATGGTGGGAAAGGAAGCAATGATGAGGTAGGGACAAGGTACTTAGAAGGTCAATGTAGAGTGGAGGGTCAGAAGGGCAAGTACAGTGGTTTCCAGCTCCACATAAAACTGATTGTGCTGGGCTGTGATTCACCTGCCTCCAACTTACCTTTCCCTCAGCTCTGCATAGTCTCCTTACCCTGAACCGCATCAAGATATCCTTATTCACAGTTTGCTGAGGGTCTTTTCACCTCAATTCAGTGTGATGATAGATGATTTTTAATCATTTTAAAGTTTTATTTTGATGGTCAGTAATATCTGTTGTCAAAAATGAAATAATAAAAATAAAAACTAAATTAAAATCACCATTCAAAGGTAACAAATGTCAACATTTTAATAAATGCTCTTATGGACTTTATATTGTACATATTGATTAAGATAAATGGGAACACACTGCTCTTACTTTTTACTACTTGCTTTTAAACATATTAAGCACTAAAAGTTCCACACCATTTTTAAAACTATGCAGCATGCTCAATTTTGTATGTGTCTTTTTTTAACAGTCCCTTCCCTTTGCTGGGCATTAGTTACTTCCAAAATTTTGAATGGTGACAATGAGCCTCTTTTCAGCTTTATGCCGAATTTCCAGGAATTGAATTCTGGAGATAGAGAAGGTGTCTTTAAACACAAGTTATACATTGGTTCAGTAGAGGAAACTGAATTCCAGTGCCAAACCTGCATGTTTGTCACAGAGTGCCAAGGGGACTGGCTGGGCTGCCGGGGCACGTTTCTTTCCCAGGGTGCAATGGTGGCTATTATAAGGCCGGTGATGATGTTCTCATGACTGTACTCACTGATCTTGACCCTCATAAATTTGTCTTTGTAGACTTCCATCCAGCAGAGCAGTATGGCAGTGTCCCAGGTGAGTTCCTGATTTACCCCCGCTGTCTTGCATTCAAGTTGATCAACTTTTGGAAATGTGTATAGCAACATTCAGTAAACCACTATCCCCTCTGTTCTTGCTGTTTTTTTCTTTTCAGCTTGTTGACTTCCTTAAGGGAGAAAGACAGACAGACAGATGGGGAGAGACAAAGAAGAAAAGATAATTTTTCACCCCTTCCTTTGGAATTTATATCTCACCTTTTCTCTTTAGATGTATTTTTAAACTTATTCTGCCATTTACCTTTCTTTACTTTCAGACTCCTTGTGTTTATTCTTACAGCTAAAATAATTAAGATTAATTAGTGCTTAATGCTTTAATGTGCATACACAAAAATAGTAGCAAAATTATCTGTTGCTCCATCCCCTGGTAACCATAGTCTTCCTTAGATATGCTCACTGTTAACACATGAAGTGTCAACAATGGTATAGATGCATTTATATAAATTTAATTAGCCAAATATATGTATATTTATGCATGGGTGTATATTCATGCATAACTGCCTTTATCCTGGCATATCCATTTTATCACCTGATTAATTGATATTCACAATGACATTCCTTGTCACTACATAAAAATTAATTTAATTCCAGTTTCTTAGTGTGGATGTATCACTTAGCTATTTGTCTATTAATGTATATGTAGGTTTTAAATTTTCTTTAAATTTTTTTTTCTTTTAATGGTATAAATAGTATCTCATGAACAACTTTCTGCCTATCTGTTCTATGCTAAGGTGTTTATGGAAGGTATACCTGGAATTTGGATTTTTGAGTCAAAGGTACCCACTCTTGAAGTTGGCCCTAAGTCTGTACTAATTAATTCTTCTATAAAAATTTTAAGACCAGATAATTTCCATATTTGAGGTCTTTAGGATAATGAAAAATGAAAAGGAATCTAATTCATTTTATGAATCCACTTAATCTGAAGTGTGATAAAAGTACTACAAAAGTGAAAATTGTTCATGAGTTTCACCTGGCTTTTTATTCCTTCAGTTTTTTCATATATATACTTTCAGAGATTGTGTGTGCTTATATATCTGTCTAGATACATGAATCCACTTTTCTTTCATCTGATATATAAGTTTATTTTTTATTTTATATTTATTTATTTATTTTTTACTGTTTAAACTACTATTTTTATTTTTTTTCTTTTCAAAGTTTTATTGATAAACAGATAGCAATGAGACAGTTTCAAATCAAATCAGAAGTACAGTTTCAACAAATAATACACTGCATATATTCTTCTTAGTGGTTAATTGCTGTACAAGATGCGGACTTGTGATCCTATTTACAAACACCATTAGAACAAATCATTCTATTCATTAAGAGAATGCAACTATATATCTATCCCAACCACTTTGAATACACAGATACAAAATGGACATTCATAGGTATACCCCATTTTTTCTAAGTTCCGTTATTGACTATTATAGGTGTGTAAACTCAGCAAAATATTCTAAAAGAGTCCAGTAGCCCATAATAGCATTGGGTCTTCTGTTTAACTGGCAATGTCAGAAATTATTGACCTGAGTCCCCCACAGTTCAACTTAACAGCATGGCTTTATTTCTTATATTTCGTCTTCATACTTTTCTACTGGATGGTTAAGACCAAGGCAAAGCAGGACCTGTGCAACAAGAGTTGTAGCTTTTTGGTCTGAGAAGGTCAGTGAAATGCCCTCAGGATTTATCCTGAGATCCTGTACCTCAGATTGTTGAACCTTTGTCAGTGCAGCCATGTGGATGAGTCACGGCCATTGCTTGGCCAATGTGCTCTCTGTGAAAGCCTGGTATATAAGTTTATAAATGAGGTTATTTTTTTCCTTTTATTAGATTGAAGCTTTTTGAGTTTAGGAGATGTATTTCTTATTTTTCTCATTTTTTTAGTTGTTTTGAGACAGGGTCTAGCTTTATAGTTTAGGCTGGCTTTGAACTCACTATGTAGAACAAAATGCTTTGAACTCATGGCAATCCTCCTGCCTCAGCTTTGCAAGTGCTGAAATAACAGACATTTGTCACCATACCTCACAATTTCTTATTAATCTCTATATCCATAGGATTTATCAGTCTTGTTTGTATTCAATGAATATGTGTTGAATGAATCAATTTCAGTAATATTTCTGGCACTATTTCTCCTATAAAGTTTCAAATAATTTTAGTTATATATTGTCTCTTCATTAGTGCTCCCCACCACACCACAGCATTGCTTTTTGTGGTTTCACTTACCCACATTCAACTGTGATCTGAAAATATTACATGAAAAATATCAGAAATGAGCATAAATTTTTACTTTATTTACTTTGTTATTACTTTATTTTGATTAATTCAATGAAATCTTGCACTATCCTGCCTCATCATGCCAGGATGCCAGTTATTCCTTTATACACTGTGTCCACAAGGTATATGTTACCCACTCATTAGCCACTTAGTAGCTCTTTGATTTATCAGATCAACTTTCAAAGTACTATAGTGTTTGTGTTCATGTAACCTTTATGTATTAATATAACATTACATCACAATGCCTATACTATTCACCTCATTTTATCTCATATAATCACTATATTATCCCATGATCACTGGATTTAGGCATATACTGGGGTTTTTGAATGTATCCCTTGCAGATAATGGGAGTTACTATGTTAAAATATGTCTAGTGAAAGACACTGACGTGTGTAGCTTTTTAAAAAAGTGGGCAGTAAGGCCAGGTCACCTGGAATTAATGCCTGTTTACAAGCTGTGTGACATGGGATACTTAGAGTACACTCTGAAGTCTTCATATTACTCATCTATCAAGTTTGTACTAGGGGGGTGGTGAGGCTCTAATTATTTAGCACACATAAAGGACTTGGAACAGCTCAGAATAAGCCCTCAGTGTGTGGGGGATGTCATGTCCTATTCCCCTGGGCTGATCCCTTTGTGCTGAAGAGGAATGTGCTATTACAGGAATCACTGAGCTTCAGAGATGTGTTTGTGGACTTCACCCTAGAGGAGTGGCAGCAGCTGGACTCTGCTCAGAAGAACCTCTACAGGGATGTCATGCTTGAGAACTACAGCCACCTGGTGTCTGTGGGTGAGGGACTGCTACACGGAGTGATGTATAATGCCCCCACTTACGTCTCAGCACTTGCTGCAAGTACAGAGGTGTTGACATCTCAGTTGGGACAAAAGGCTCACTGTCCTAGTCCATTTGGATGCTGGGCAAGCTATTTGCTCTATCACCTTCTAGGTGAATGGCTGTGTGCAGGAGGCAGTCACTGTGGCTGTCCTGTCTTTAGCCTGTGGGGGTGGGCTTTGGTCTGGAGAGCCTCCAGCACTAATAACAAATGACTCTGTTATTTTCCCTGGCAGGGTATCTAGTTGCCCAGTCAGATGCGATCTTCAGCTTGGGACAAGGAGAAGAGGCCTGGGGGGCAGACAGAGGAACCCAGATAAGGAGCTGTCCAGGTGAGCACACACCAGGTGAGTTGTGCAGGGATGCAGAACCTGATTGTTGATGGGACTTGGCCTCTGGGATGTTCATAGGAGCTCTCCTTGGCACGCAGACATGTGGACATGACTCTGGCCCAGTGAACAAGCTGTTGTCATAGCTAAATGAGGCTACTACCTGCCAGTCTTTTCTAGTCTTTGTGTTCTTCACCTGCTGTCCAGAATGACTTTGTTGTGAGCGCCCATCTCTGCCTTCAGTTTGTTAGTGACAAGTGCCAATCTCTTCTCATTCCTTTTCCCTCCTTTCTGGGAGTTTTGAGGGATTTTTCCCTTTCTTGGGTGTTGGTATTTTCTCAGTGAGAAGTTGGGAGATGTTTTGAACCTTGGGAAAATTATTCTGCCTGATTTATTGCAGTTGCTGTGGACAAGGAAGCTTTGCTAGTGACCTTTAACTTTGCCAGGCCAGGTATGCAGTATGCTCTCTTCTACCCTTGCCTGGAGGCCAAACACTAAACTTTTACATAGTGTCTGTTTTCTTTTTTCCTTTTCAGATTCTTGCAGATCTGACTTAGACTGCCTGTTAACAGATTCTCCCTCTTATTGGTGCTTCCTCCCACTCAATTTTTGTTTTCTGTGTCATCTATCTATTTATTTTTTTATAATAGAAATAAACTTGAGAGGCTGTTACTCCTGGGTGAAATACTTTAGTGATCCATTTCAGTCCTGGGGAGAGCTGTTTTGGTTGATTGATTATTTTTGCTCTGGGGTAGTTATAGAGAACCAGAAACTGCATAATCTTTGGTCTTCTCTTTCTCTCCCATCTGTGGGGCCCCCACCATGGGCCCATCCCAAAGAAGTCTGTTGAAACAGACTTACTCTTCAGTGTGTGGCTTGTGGGCCAGCAGCCTGGGTATTGGACACAGGGCTCTTATGTGGAATTGTAGAGTTTGCTGAATTAGACTCTTCATTTCAACAAGCTCCTATGGAATCCCTAAGCTGAGGAAAGTTGAGAAGCCTTGCTTGTTAAACATACGTCTCAGTATCAGTTGTTATTAGCTGTGGCCCTACAGATATACCGGTAACTCTCCAGCTGGATTCTTGAGAGCCCAGCATCCACTCTAGAGCCTCTTGGGCTGGGCTGAGGGACTCCTGATGCTCTGCAGCTTCTCCTGGGTGTGTTTTCTTTCAGCTTTAATATCCTCCTTCTGGCACAGTGAAGTCCCATATCTGCTGCTGGTAGAAATGCCTACGATTTCTGATATGCTGATGGCACACTTATATCCAGCGATACCTGGAATTATAATGATTGTGCATATGGTTCTCATTCTAGTGGTATTCTGAAAGGGATGAAAAGTATACTGAGACCATACTGGATGTCTCCTGAATCCTAATGCCCTTACTTTCAAAGCTACATTCTATTAAAATGTAGTGGCATACATGCTCAGCCCCAGAATAAAAAATAGTATAGGATGAAAACTAATCCAAGAGGTGTTCTCAGCTACACTTTCCAAGGGCAATCTCTTCTTAAACTTTCTACAGTATTTGCAGTTCTGGTGAGTACTACCATGGGCTTTAAAAAGTCTTTATAACTCCGTGTTTTGAATTTTCAGTATAATCTACCTATTATGAAGAATAGAGATTTGGCTCACTTTTTGACCATCTGCTCCTCAGCTTTTCATATTTGTTAAAATCTTTTTATTTCCTTTATTGGCTATATATTTAATATAGCCTCTATTTTTTTTTCTTTGTGGTAACTTAAAGTCTAGCTAAGTTCCCATAGTTATTTTCACTACCTAGAACATGAATCTGTAGAGATCAAAGCATGTCATGTTCTAACTTACGCTACCTCTAGGACTTTTGGAAGACATAGAATAAATACTGCATTGATTGTTTTGGACTTGGAGAGAGGAAGGAGGTTTGTTATTCATCCACATATGAATGGCTAAGAGCATGACCCTTGGAACCACATAACCTGCATTCAAATTCCGGCCACTTCTCTCACTAGCTGTCATGTGAATACATTACTGTGTTTCTCTTCATCTGTTATAGAATGAAGCTAATCATAAAACTTAGTGCTTATGAGAAGTTAATGAGTTTTAGCATGTAAAACACCTAAAAGGGTACCTGACATAAAGAAAATTCTCAGGAAGTTGTGTTTTTGATATGCACATACAGGTTTTTTAAAAATGTAGTGATTGTTAACCAGGAGATATATTATCTGTATAACTTTCAAATATTCATGGGTGAACCCTGCTCTCTAGAAATTGTTTCTCAAAGTCTTGTAGGGGCCAGGTTATGTGTATTTTGCATCACATTCTAGAAAGGATCATGCCCATGCCAAATTAATATACTTTGCTTGAAATATCTAGAGAGAGGTATTCCAAAGAAATGGGAGGCACTGCAAGACCATCATCCAGGAGCATGGGAGGATAGGAGCATGGGAACTGTCTTAGACAACACCCTGAACTCCTAGGGTAGAACCAGAAAGCAACTTTAATTTCTGTCCCATTGCTGCATACATAAATCTCTTTCATTGACTGTGATTTTCCCCATCTGTGATTGAACTCTGGCACTTGCCCGGTCATTCTGAGACAATAACAGGCTTCTAGGGACCACCTCATCTCATGAGGAACCTCACTGTAGTAATGAGAACTGTCCAACATTAGTAGTGCATATCTGAAACTTACTGAAAGGTTGTTGATCTTTCTACAGAAAGATCTTTTGCCTTATTTGTTGTTTCTCTTCTGTTCTGTTGATTTCTCCTTTTATTTTCTCTTTCCTACTAGCTTGGATTTATATTTCAATTACTTACCTAGCTTTTTTTTCAACGTTTTATTATGAAAAGAGAACAAACTTTAAAAGTAACAGATTGAAGATTCATATAGCTCCACCTAGAGTCAACAAGGAACATTTCACTTATATTTCTATATGTATTATCTGCCAATTGATGTCATTCTGTCAATTCACCTTAAGTTTTTTGCAGAGTACACTTTAATTTGCAAATCAGCACTCATCATCCCTTATACCTCCACAGGCATATCATTAAGACTTCAGTGTTTATTAGCATTTTATTTATTATTAGCACATATGAGGAATTTTGGCACATGCATTCTTTGGTTATATGTGTGCTTATACTGTAGCATAATTACTTTTCTTTATCATATATATGCTGATGTTATTGTGTTGCCTTTTTAAAATGAGATTTATTGAGGTATAATGCACATACCATGAAGTTCACACTTCTCAGGTTCATGTAACCATAACCACAGTCAAAATATTAAACATTTTCATATCTCTGCAAACCTCTTTCTTTTTATAATTAAATATCTCTTACCATCCCAAGTATCATGTCTCTTCCTTTTTCTTGAGTGACAAATAAATGAGTCATCAATGACTTATTCCACTTAATGCTTTTTAAGTTCATCCATGTTGTGGCATGTGTAAGCCCTTTGTTCCTTTTTTATCTGAGTAGTGTTCCAGTTTGTTTATCAATGGACCAGTTAAAGCACAGTTGATTTGTTCCTGCTTTTGGTTATTTTAAATGAAGCTTGTACAGGTACTGTATTTGTATGGACCTATGTTTTCATATATTTTGGGTAACTATCTAGACTGGGATTGCTTGTTCCAATGGTAAGCATATGTTTAACTTTGTAAGACATTGCCAAACTATTTTCCAATGTGGTTGTACTATTTTATTTTTTCACCAACAGCACATTTTTATAGTATGGGCATAAGAGGATTGCATTGTGATTCAGATTTCCAGCTTTGTAAAAATTTGTGATTGTGAGCATGTTTTCATGTGCTAATTTGTTATCTGTATATATTCTGTGGTTAATTATCTGTTATGATCTTTGTTATTAAATTGTGAGAGTTCTTCATATACTCTCCATATAAGTCCTTAGCAGCTGTGTGTTTTCTAACTATTCCTGGGCTATGGCTTATTTTCAAATTGAGAAATCTTGTTTTTATTTTTGATGAAATTAAGTTTATCAAGTTTTTCTTTGATGCTTATACATTTTGTGTCCTGTGTAGCAAATCTCTAACCAGGATAACAAAAAATTCTTTCATGTTTCCTTCCAGGAGAGCTATAATTTTAGTTCTTACAGAGTTAAGTCTATGACTGATAGAGTTATTTTTATATCTGGTATGAGGTAAGGATCAGTATTCCTTTATATCATTTTTTGTATATGCATTACCATTTGCGCCAGTAACATTTTTGAAAAGGATATTGTTAATTAATTTACTTTGGAATCCATTTTGAAGATAATTTGAACTCATGTCAATCTGTGTGTCAGTACCACACTGTCTTAATTACTGCACCCTTTTAATTAAGTGCTTACATTTAATAAGTCTTCTAATTTTGTTTTTCTTTTCATAATATTTTGGCTATTTACATCCTTAGTATTTCATATAAGTTTTAGAATCAACTTTACAACTTTTGCAAAAATCTGTAAAGGATTTTGTTTGAGATTGCATTGAATCTGTGGATCATTGATGTGCTAATAATATTGTCTTCTAATTTTATTTGTATATATTTCCACTTAGGTCTTTTATTTTACTTTATTTTTTTGGTACCAGGGATCAAACTCAGGACCTTTCACTTGCCATGCAGGCACTTCAACTGCTGAGCTATATCCCCAGCCCCTATTTAGGTCTTTTAAATTCTATATCAGTAATAATTTGCAGTTTTGAATGGACAGGTCTTACAATATTTTAATCTAGCTTTATGTTATATATTCTTGTAATATAAATTGTGTGTATACACATACATATTAAATTTCAGTTTCACATTGGTTAATTCAGCTTTTTGGACATATAATTGATTTTTCTATATTGCTTTTATATCTTGGGGCCTTTCCTAGCTCACATAATAGGACTAGTAGCTATTTTATAGATGACTTGTATTATTTTTACATAATCATGTAATTATGAATAAGAACAGTTTATTTCTAATCTAGATGCCCTTGCTTCTTTTTTTTTTCCTTATTGTACTTTCTAGTATCTTCAATGTAATGTTGACAAGGAGTAAGGAGGGAGACATACTTGACTCTATCCTAATCTTAGGATAAAAGCATTCATGTTCTTACCATTGAGAAAATTTTACTTGTAGATTTTTTCATAGATGACCTGTTAAAGGTTGAGGATGTTTCCTTCCATTCCTGGCTTTCTGAGAGTTTTTATCCTGAATGAATGTCACACATGCTTTTTATGGGTCAGTTGATATGATTGTTTTTTTTTTCTTTAGACTACTGCATTTTGTGTAATTATTAACATTGAACTTAGGCCTATTAGTATTTCTTTTCTTTTTATGCTCCTTTTTCTTTTTAAAAAATTATTCTGCTTCCCCATTATTCTTCTCTTTGGAATATTTTGCTGTTTTTTAAACTTACCTTTTTTACTTTTATGTAATTATATGTTTTCATGTACTTGTCAAAAATACTATAGAGACCTTGAGTACTCGACCCAGTTTTCTACAGTGGTGACATCTTGAAATATAGTAAAAATCACAGCAAGGGAATTTACATTGATAAAGTCAAGATACACAACACATTTCCATCACCCTTCTATTGTCATTTATAACCATATCCATTCCCTCCTACTTCAATTCTTCCTTAAACTCTGGCAACTACTAATTTGTTCTCCATTTCTATAATGCCATTTCAAGACTATTATATGACGGGGTCAAACAGTGTAAAACTATGGGTTTGGATCTTTTCACTCAGCATAATTCTCTAAGCATAATTCTCTGGAGATTCATCCTGTTGTGCATATAAATAGTTTCTTCCTTTTAGTCACTGAACAGCAATTCACCAAATAGTGTGCCACACTTTGTTTAACCATTCATACTTTGAAGGACATTCCTGTTTTCAACTTTGTCGATTTCCATTCTCACTTTTCAATATAAAACTCTTTGATCTTTCTTCATTTCTAATGTAATACATTCAGTTCTGTAAATGTCCCTCCAAACACTGTTTTCACTATGTCCCACAATTTTATGACATATTTTCATTTTGTTCAAAATATTGTGAAAGTTCCTTTAAGACTTATTTAGAAGTAAGTATATCTGTAAATTTCCAGATGTTTGGGGTTTTACAAGTGTCTTTGTCTGACAGATTTCTGACTTAATACCGTTATTGTACATAATATGATTTCTTACAAGTTTGTTACAATTTGTTTATGATCCAGAATGTGGCTTATCTTAGTGAATGTTTTATATGTACTTGAAAAGAATGTGTATTTTGCTGTTGTTGGATGCAGTTTTTTAATTAATGCCAATTAGACGGAGTTGGCTGATAGTGCTATTCACCTTATCTATATCCTTGTTGGTTTTCTGTCTACTTGTTCAATCAATTATTGAGAGAAAGAGTGTTGAAGTCTCCAACAATAATTGTGGATTTGTCTGTTTCTCTTTCAGATGTATCCATTTTTGCCTCATGTATTTTGAAGTGCTGTTATTAGGTACATACACTTTTAGGATTGTTATTGCCTCTTGGAGAATTGACCATTTTATCATTTTGTAATGTCGTTCTTTGTTCCAGAAAATCTTTCTTGTTCTTAAGTCATTGTCTGAAATTAATGTAGTTGTTTCAGCTTTCTTTTCACAAGGATTTCATGGGTATATATCCATCCCTTTACATTTTTTAAATTAATAGACTTTTTAACAATAGTTTTAGATTGATAGAAGAGTAGACCAGTTAGTATAAAAAATTTCCTTATACCCATCTCTTTCCCTCTCCATGTTTTCCCTAGTAATAACATCTTACACTAGTATAGTATACTTGTTATAATATATGTGTGAATGTTGATGCATTACTATTAACTAAAGTCCATATTTTACATTAAGGTTTAATCTTTGTGTTGTTTAGTTTTATGGATTTCAACAAATGCATAAAAATCCACTATTACCATGTCATACAGAATAATTTTTCTGCCTTTAAGTCCCTTGTGCTTCCCCTTTCATCCTTTCTCCCCTTCCTCCCAGCAAGCACTGCTCTTTTTGCTATCTCTAAAGGGTTACCTTTCCCAGAATGTCATGTAGTTAACATCATACAGAATATAGCCTTTTTAGACTGGCTTCTTTCAGACAGCAATATACATTTAAGTTTCTTCCATGTCTATCCATGGCTTTATAGTATATTTCTTTTTATTGCTAAATAATATTGCGTTGTATGGATGTACTGCTTTCTTTATCCATTCATCTATGGAGGCACATCTGGCATCATAGTTAACTTCCAGTTTGGGGCCATTATGAATAAAGCCACTATAAACATCCATGCGTAGACTTTTCTGTGGACATAAGTTTTCAACTCATTGTGGTTCATTTCCTTTTGAAATTTATAATTTTGACTGTGAACTCCTTTTCAGTGAGAGTTCTTTTCCATAGAAATTCTGTGTACCATAAGCTATAAAAGCATCACTGCCGAACTGTTTAGAGAGGGAGGTCCACTGATTTCACTAATGCAGGACCATTTTTAGGTGAATGTAGCAACTCAGGAGGTTTTGGATATTTCAAATGTGCATTGGAAATGTACTCCCACATGTTATAAGACTAGGGTTCTGATTTCTTAAGTAGCTCCTGATTCTTATTACCATTTTTATTAGCTAGTGGGTGTCATCTTTCTAATTCCTATGTTACAAAAAGAAATGGTCTTTGTGATTTTCAGTTTTGAAACTGTTAGCTCAGTTCACTGCACATTTGTAACCTATAGTCTGGAATTCACTCCACATTCATTGTAAGAGCATTAGTATTTCAACTGCAAAGTCATATAGAGTCAGTTTTTATTTACCATTTCAGTTTAAATTTCTTCTTCATTTTTGTCACATAATACATTTATTTTCTTGTTTTGAGCTGGACTGCATATTACATTTTTTTAACTTGGGTTGCCATTTGTTTGCATTTGCAGTCAGAAAGATAGGGGTGGTAGGACATGGAGAGGATCCATCCATATCAGCTTCAGTCATGTTGATAGGAATTCACCACAGGACATTTAGTACTTAATGTTATAATATAGTACAAAGACTTACAAGTTTGATGATTCATATCTTTTCCCTAGAAGTCTGGCAAGTTGATGGGTGGATAGATAACTACAAAGAAAGCCGAGACAACCCCCTATGACAAGCTGCATTCAGAGACAAGGAAATAATGAAAGATTAAAGGGGCCAAGAATATAGAACATGCAGAAAAATCATATATGTGAGCACAGACTTTGTTTCTATAAGACAAAGACTTTCTAAATATTATTCATGGAGAAAGTGTTCAACGTAATTTAAGCTTTCTTAGTTAAAAGCTATGTAAGAAAGATAATGGGTGTAAGTCATACTGGAAATTACGTCTTTGTTCTAAACTTGATAAAGCCAAACCTGCAGAGAAATTCTTTGAAACCAGTCAACAAGGAAAATTCTCCACCATAAGCAAGCCTGTAATAAAAGGTTGAATATTCAAGCTGGGGATAAGCTCCATGAATGTGGAAAAATATCCAGAAAGCACACCTTGTTGTACACAAGAGAACTCACACTGGAAAGAAGCTTTATGAAAACTGTGAAGTGCAAAAGCCTTCATCCAAAAGTCAACCCTCATATGCATAAAATTCAAAAGCCCTATGAGTGCAATTGATGTGGGAAAACCTTCATTCAGAAGGCACCACTCATTAAACATTAGCAGATTCATACGGGGAGGAAATTTTATGGAAGTAATGAATGTGAAGATTTTTTCAGTGTGAAATCAGCTCTTACTGTACAACACAGAACTTCCACAGGAAAGAAGTCCTATGAAAACAGAGATTTGCAAAACCTTCAGGAGAAGACCACTCTCGTTGAAAATTCAAGAAGTCATTTAGGAGATAAGATGCAAAACCCATGAGTAAACCTTTAAGTGGGATAAATATCCATTAGTTTTATGTTGTCATACTCTGTATCCAGAAATTCATTCAAAATAATTTTTCAAATCTTGAATCAGCTTTTATGAAGTTGCTTATCCTCTGTTAAATTTAGGAATGCTCAATGGTATAATATTCAAAACATGGAATGAACATGATAAATTCTTCACTTAAAAGTTGTAAATATTGTTCATCAAAGAATTTATGAAGGGTCAAAATTATGAATTAGGGCTGGGGAGATAGCTCAGTGGTCTAAACACCTGCCTGGCATGCGTAAGGGCCCGAATTTGATCCCTAGTACTGCATGCCATACCACCCTGGAACCACAGGCATGTTGAGCCAGCCACCAAAACCAGGTGTGGTAGCACATGCCTGTGATCCCACTGCTGGGGAGGCTGAGACAGGAGGATCACTATGAGTCTGAGCTGCATAGTGAGACCCTGTATGAAATACATAAAGGATTTAAAATTTAAAAAATCAGTAAAAATTTGTAAAGCCTTTGGAAAGAAATTTAGTGACATTTTATATCAGCACTTATGTTTAGGAGACTCAATTTAGACTCAAGTTGGAGAGACCAGTTTTTCTAGATATAAGGAAGATCATATCCCAGATGTGGCATACATTTTCTAGAAAAGATCATGATTTTATTACATAAAAATTATACATTAGAAACATTTTCTTTGCCGAATATGTTATAAAGCTTTTAAAAGTATAAATATACCAGAAAGAGGAAAAACATAACCCTTGCCAGGTCAGCGTAACAGATTATCCTGTAGTAGAGAATCCATAAATAGATGAATTTGAGAGAGGATGAGTAAGCAGGACCTCCTCCCAATACAGAAAACTCAAGCAGAAGATCTTACACATGTATTTTTATCTATCACTGCAAATGTACAAATATAGACAAAAGTTATATACTTTTGGGATGCTTTGTTTGAAACGATCTGAATTGTGCTTTAAGTAATTTATGATAGGGCAATAGGTTCAAGGTTTAGCAAAGATCCTATAAGAACAATGTTAATTGGAACATTTATAAGCAATTTGAATATCCAGTGGTATGTGATTCATCATACATTCATAATTTAGAACAATATCCTGGCAATAATCATGAGAATTTTGGAAATGTTCAAGAAAAGACAGAATTGTGCTTTATGATCTGTGTGATAAAATTTGATATGAGGGATATGCACCATTGTGCTTATTAGTATCTCTGGGTTGTGAAGATATAAATAAATTTTTATTAGTAAAATTATATACATATAATTTATTCCACTTATATTTATTTTAACTGTTTATCTTCACGTGTATCTATGTAGAGACATGCATAGGAAAAAGCTAGGAAAAAATCCTATTAAGAGTGGTTATATATGTATGTTGGAATTACTGGGTTTTTTTCTGTCTTTTTGAGACAGGGTTTCACAATTCAGTTTAAGCTGGTCTTGAACTCACTTTGTAGCCCAAACTGGCCTCAAAATTGGAATGATGCTCATGCCTCAGCCTCCCAAGTGCTGGGATTACAGGCAGTGCTATCATACTTGGCTGGATTTATTGGTTTTAAAATTTGATAATCTCAAATTTCCAGAAAGTACCAAATGTTATTTAAAATACCTTTTTCTAGGTTTTTAATTTTTCTTTGTGTCTACCCATTTTTCTATTCTGATCTATTTTTAATATATGACACACTCCTTTCTATTCTGTACTAGCCATCTCACTTTGACATAGTACTTTTCCTTGTGGTTATCTGATCTCATTACTAGAATATTTCATACACGTTTGATAGTGGAAATCTTATGATTTAGTACAATGATGTTCTAGTGAAAATTAAAATATCTTCATACTTTTATACTTCATTCTCAGCAAATCCTGTTACTAAAGTATAAGCTAGTAAATTTTACATATAAGTAGCACTGCAGTGAGTCATTAATGGTCCCACAGGCAATAGAAGCAAACATGGAAATCGAAACCTCTAGAAGTAATTGTTCGTTTGTTTGTTTTAGAAGTAATTGTTGAGTACTTGTTTTTTCTTTCCTCTTTTATCCTTTTTTTTTCTTGCCCCCAAGTTCTTAAAATGAAGTGTGGTTGTTTACGTAAGTAAAGGCTTTTCAACTTATAAAAGCATTACTTTGATGAATTCCTCTGATTCTCATGGCGACATTATTAAGTATGGAGAAAAGTGATAGTGTCTTCTCCAACTACGCAAGTATCCTGATATTTAACAGTTGAAACAAAATAATAAGGAGCTTGTTTACTTAAAACTCAAACTGTAAGTAGTGTAACAGGCATTAGATTCACATTCCATAGTTCCTCCATGAATCCAATTTGTGTGCTGTTCCATAAGGTCCCTCATTCCTTCAGACCTTAGTGGAGAAGAGGAGAGATCTATGTTACTTCATACCTCTCATTATTGTCTTGGATTTAAATGTTTAATAGGAAAGTAATGGGCAGACAGACTTATATGTCCATGTACATTGTAGTTGGTTTTCCAGTCCAGAAATTATGTTGCAACAACTAGAGGATAGGGAAAGACACATTGAAAAAATACTTTAAAATGTAACAGGTGTGGAAACAGTGAGGTCCGGATGAATTAAGATTCCAAAAAGTGAAGTGCCTTGTCTACATGAGCTGACAACTGCTGTCCATGATCTTTTCTTGGAGGATTTACTGATTCTAAGTGTGAGCTAACAATGGGGTTTGGTCCAGGCTGCTAGACTTTACAAGAGGAAATAAATTGAGAATAGCTTTTGGAATTTATATAGGGCTGTCTATCTTAGAAACGAAAGAGCTTCAAGAACATGACTAGTTTTGTGCAAAGGACATTTTCTGTCTTATGATGGTATTAGTAGGTAAGGACACCAGGCCAGAAAAACAAAGTGAACACTTCTTCAGTCTCATTGTACTTTAGAAACAGCCCCAGTAGAAGCCCCCTGCCATGATCATGGAGAAAGAGGCTAAAGAGCTCTCAACTCAAAACCTATGGGGAAGAGTACTAAATATTAAGCAGTTTTCCAGGTCTGAAGAGACAGAGACCTACCAGGTTCTCAAGCAAAAGTATAGGAATAAAAACCTGAGGAACCACGATGATTAAGAGCTGAATTGTTTTAATACTGCAAACTAACCCTCATTGGTTTGAGGTAATTAGTTCCTAACTTTATGTGTTATAGAAGAAAAGTTAAGCCCAGTCACCTACAGCCTCTACACTTTTTAAATACAGAATGTCTCATACCAAAAAGATTACTAGATGTGAGAAAAGGTGGAGATATGCAGCTATGACAGAAAACAAGTTGTGGTAGGTAGAGTTATAAGAATGATCTTCAAGGATCGTCTTTATACAATCCCATCTATTCTCTGTGTGAGGACCTGTGAATATCTTACCACTTTTGTGATTGTTATATTACATTGCCAAAGGGAAGTTTTCAATTTTTTCTCTTGAACCCTTTAAAATAATAGTTTGTCAGCTGGGTGGAAAAAGAGAACATGATTGAACATGAGTGATATTTTTTGTTATTGAAATGAAGATGGCTCATGGCAAGGAATTATAAATAACCTCCAGGATCTGAGAGCAGACCCCAACTGTGCCAGCCAGAAAATGTGGACCTCAGTCTTACAGCCACCAGGAACAGAATTCAATCAACAACCTGCATGAGCTTAGAAGCTTATTCTTATCAACAGCTGCCAGATAAGAGCCCAGCGTAACCTACACTTTGATTATTCCTTTGTGAGACAGAAGTCAGCTAGGCCCATCTAGGATCCTGACCTGTAGAAGTATCAATTCTAATAAATTGACATTCTTTTAAGCTACTATCTTTGTGGTGATTTATTTTGGCAGCAAAGGAAAAGTAATACAGAATACTTAAATCAATTTGATTTTGGAGTTGGCAGAAAACACTAAATTACCATGCATATAAAATAAAATCAGTAGAAGCTGTAAGATTTCAAAATAGGCATTTCTAAAATTGGGTAAAATGTATTGTATATGTTACAACTGTGAAAACAATAGTGGAAAACTTAATGTATGAGTTTTAACTGCAGATTGGACACAACAGAAAATAGGATTCACAAATATGAAGACGAGGGAAAATGCAAGCAACAAAGGGTCTTAAGAGTGCTAAAGAGGAAAGGTCAAGAGACCAGGTATGAAGACTCCAAGGTCATGCCTCCATGACTTACCTAGGTACACCCAGAAGTGTGCTTTATTAATAATCTGGGTGGTTCCCAAGCTAATGAAGTTGATAATTAAGTTTAGGTACTGGACATCCTAAGGGATGAGATTAGTGACACCATTAAAATGCTAAAGGGTGAGGAAATGATCTATTTGTCACTTTTCTATTACTGAGACAAAATACCTGATACCTATGACTTTAAAGAGGAGAGATTTCAGTTCCTGGGCACTAAGCTCTAAGGGTGAAACATCATGGCAAAGGAAAGTTTTTCATCTCATAGTGGCTAGAAACAGCAAAAGAATCAGAGAATTAGAATGAAAAGAGAAGAGTGGAGGGGAGAGGTGAGAGGAAGAAAGACAGTGAGAACAAGAGAGAATGGGGGAGTGGCTGGAGACAAGAATATACCCTCATAAGTAACATAGTGACCAACCTTCTAATAGCATATTCAGCTGTAAAATCATAAAACGGACTGGTAAGTATAGTGTCCCCATGATCTAATCAGTTTCCAAAGGTCCCACATCTGAACCCAGGATATCTAGAGGATGTTTTAGATCCAAACCATAAGAAGTGGTTACCCTTATATATTTAATTAATTGCTAGCCCTTTCAGAAACCAGCTAAATCCTGGATAATGACAGTAAACTGTCTCAAGCTCAACCTTACTGACTTAACAAAAAAACTCACCACCTCTTAATCTGGGGTCTGTAAGTAACATTCCATACCTAGAAATGCTTCTCTGGCCCTTAGACCAGGTGACATGAAAGGCTGATAGCTTTGAGTGTGACCTAGAGCAGGAAAGCTCTGCAGCAAGGCCAGGACCTAGCATATGCAGCCTTGTTGCTTAGGATTATATGATCTACATTGCTAAAGGTGCCACTACTGGGAAAAGGTAAAGTATGGCAATGACATTCCTACATCTTTGTTTTTTGGTTTTTTTTCTCCATAATTTTATTGATAAACAAATAGCAATGAGACAGTTTCAAACCAAATTGGTAGGACGGTTTCAATAATTAACACATTGCATATATTCTTCCTAGTGGTTAATTGCTGTGCAAGGTGCAGACATGATATCCTATCTACAAACACCATTAGAGCAAATCATTCTATTCATTAAGAGAATGTAACTATATATCTAT